GGGCGAAGGCCTGGAGGTGGGGCCGAGGACAATGGATGGAGGCAAGATGACCTGACGGGGGGGCACAATGCCTGCCAGAGAGCAAACCGTCCTGAAGGCGGCTGGGGCACCAGTCCCTGTGGGCTCCGCGCAGGAGGCAGGCCGGCCTTCACCTCTGCAGCACAAAGTCTACTCGGAAAAGAGCAAGTCTGGCCCAATTCAGGAGAGGCCAAAGCTTAGGGTGTCTGCTGTGGTCCTCGCTAACCGGAGGGGCCCTCTCTCCGACCACCCAGATGCAGCCTCCCTCTCACACAGCCATTGTCCTTGGTGACCCTGCTGTCACAGCGACTCTGACATGGCTCTCCTCTCCCTTGGCAGAACTGCTCACACCTACCCCTGCTGCAGCCGGGTGCCAGGCAGGCCAGGCTCCTGCAACACAGAGCCACAAGCACCCAGACATGGCTTCATAAGGACTTAGATCTGCAAACACTGCAGGCAACAAGCTGTTTGCCAAAACCAGAAACCAAACTCACCGCAGTCAAGTCGATGCCGACTCACAGCACCCCTAGAGGACAGAGTGGAACTGCCCCACAGGGTTTCCAAGGCTGTCAGTGTTTATGGAGGCTGTCTGCCACATCTTTCTCCCTCAGAGCAGCTGGTAGGTTTGACCTGTAGGTTAGTAGTCAAGTGCTTTAACACCGGAGCTTTGGTGGCACAGTGCCTAAGGCATTTGACTGCTCACCAGAAGGCTGGCGGTTCAAACCCATCAGCCACTCCTCAGAAGGAAGGTTGGGCAACCTACTTCGGTAGAAATACCGCCTCAGAAACCCAAGGAGGGGTTGCTAGGAGTTGGATCTGACTCGATGGCAGTGAGGTTGTTTTTTTTTTTTTTTTCGGTTTTAAGGACTGTACCACCAGGGCTCCTAAGCTGTTCACACCACCTTTACAAAAATGAAAATGAAAAGTGAATTTGCTCCAGACATTTTCTCACGCCCACAGCTGTGCCCACACTTGTGTTTCCCAAACTCCTGGAAAGCTCTCTCCGGAGGCCTCTCCCGCTTTAGCTCTCTCCCTCCACCATCTCCAGTTCTCTCCTGGAAGCTTACGGGACCCCTGTCGTCTAGGCAGGACCCCTGTCGTCTAGGCAGGACTCTCTTCTTATGCTGGAAACCACTGTGCAGAGCCGGCACCTCCTTGGTGACTGGGGGGGGTAAGCCAGTCATAGTTCTTACCCAGCCTGCGTGCCCTCCCCCTGCCTGAGGGGCCGTGCTGGACAGCAGGGGACTGAATGGGAAGGACATCAGATGCCACCTTCTGCAGAACCCGGAGTGTGGAGACCCCACCAGCCGCTGCCCACGGGACGCCCCAGCACTGTGGAGAGGCCGTGTGGTTGCTGCTGGCAGGCAGTCGGTCTGCTGCCCCTCCTGGCCCCGTGGCCCGACTGTCTGGCAAAGGACAAAGAGCCTGTTGTCAGCAGCAGTGGGCACGTCCACACTGACAGCCCAGCCAGAGCCTCTGGAGCCCCTCCACCGCGGCTGCTAAATGGCTGCAAATTGGAGGATGAAAGCACAGGCTTTCAAGCAATTTCGCCTTCAATCTCTGGAAACCGCTGCTCCTGGAGCTCCTGTGTGGGGCCGGAGGGAGAGAGAGGAAAGGCAGCAAGGCCACCCCCAGCTTCCCAGCAAACAAACCCTCTCAGGGGCCCGGGCTGGGGCAGGGCTGGGGCCGGGGTGCGACTAGGATAGGGCAGGGTTGGGGCTGGGCTGGGCCTGGGGCAGGGCTGGGTCTCTGTCTGGGTTGGGGCTGGAATGGGGCTGGGGCTGGGGCCAGGATGGGGCCAGAATAGGCCAGGG